AACCCCAGCCTTACCCCTCCCCCCGCCGGCTTCGAATTGCGGATGGATTAACTGGCTTGGGCCCCGCCAGCTGGAACAACTCGCGTGGTTGTTCAGACAACCGGACCACCTGCATCGTGATTGCAAGCGGCGTGAGTAAAGTTTTTTGCAACCAATAAGTTGTGTCTGCCTCTCCATTCACCAGCCCGCCCTAACGTACGACCAATTTCTAAACGCAACTCGAGTCGGCTCTGGCCGTCCGAGACAGTGGGGAGCTCCACAAACCAGGTGATCACCAGGGGGTGGATTTGGCCTGTGGGCCTTGGGTTGAGCACCCCTGTTTTAAAAGTGGAGAAGCATCTTTCATTTCAGCAAAAAACCCATAACATTCAGAGGGACTATGACTTCCATAAGCTACTGCTGGCTGCTGTTTGAAGTTTAAGTAAAAAAAAAAAAAAAAAAAGTGTAGCTATTATGAAATTCATAGAAAGGGGAGCAACACTTTTTTAAAGCACTACATTTACCAGAATTAGCTTCTCCAGGACATTTTTACATGTCTGTTTTCGGTCACTAAGGACATCTTTTTGCTTCATTAGGACACGATAGCGACTGAAGAACTCTTGATATGTCCACCTGGTTTCAAGAAATAGGAAAGGTGTTGACCATATAATGGAAATATCTTGATGAAAATGCTTGCAGTTAAAAACAAACCAAATCAGCAAGCCTACCTTGAGGGGAAGCCAGCTGCACTGATTCGGATCGTTTCCAGGACACCACAAGCCCTGAGCTGCTGTACTGCCCGCTTTTCATCAAATCTGCATATGAAAATAAAGCATTTGTCAGATGGTAGGCTTTCTAAGTGACTAGAGCATGAAAATAAGAGTCCAGAAACAGTGACAGTGTTAGGACTATAAATGCCTATTTAAAAAAAAAAAAAGTATGTCATTATTACAGATTCTTTAAGTGTGTGATCTCTTATATCAACTCAGAACAGAAAATCATTAAAATTGCAGGTTTTTTTGTTGGATAGAAAGAATGTATGTGTTGGCCAGTACTTTTATCTCTACTAAGTCCAAAATATCTTCTTTCGTGAGATGCATCCTGATGTTATCAACACATCATTTTACTGCTGAGTGACAACAGGCACTGGGTCCAGACCTCAAAGACCACCAGGCACCCTTCTTGAATTCACAGCTAAGTCTCTGTCTACAGACACCATAACTTAGCCAACTTACGTGAATGGAAACTTGAAGTCATTGGGCTTAATACAACGCACATAGTGGGGAGTTGTAGCATTGAGGGTTTCCATCAGCAAATGAAGAGAGTTGCGAAACTGCATTTACAAAGAAAAAAAGAAAAACCAGGAATTTACACTATATGTTGAAATTCAGTCTTGGTTGAAACCATAACAGCTGTTATTAGATTAGATCCAAAATAAAGTCAAATGTCAATAGATCATTTTGGCTGAAGCTTGTCCTAGTGTAAGCAGATATCACTGTGGTAGTTCTTGGAAGCAACTCATACTTACTGAGACACTGCTATAGAATCATTCACAATCATAGTGCCATCTGCAATACAAATGCTTTAACTGTCGACAGGCAAATATAACCTTGCAAGGTGCTGGGGTGTTACAATTTAAGGAGACAGCTATTCTGAATTTCTAACTACATTCTACTTTGCAGGCACGTGGAATCTGTAACATTAATTTTCTTAACAGTATATGAGGATGATGTCATGTAACTGGTTTGGTGCCTAGCTTTTGGGCATAAAATTCCAAAGACAATCTAAATATGAAGTTAAAGGGTAAAAATGGAATACATTTTGTATTGAACATTTCTATAGGCAGCATTGGTTTTTATGGCCCAAACTTGCATGTTACATCTGAAATTAGTAATAATCTGAGCATATTAAAATACAAAGCAACTAGAACACAACTTTAGCCAAGTGCATACCATAATGAGAAATAACTGTCAAATGGAAGATTTAGCATCCAATTTGTCTACACAGCCTTGGCAGAAACAGTGCCCATCCTACTTCTGCTTAGAAGCTTCAAGTGCCATTGATGTTATAGTTAGACTTCGGCACATTATGCTTAATGAGAATAAAACTCATCCATTCACAGTATGTACTTATGTATGCTTTTTATCATGGCCAAGAGACTCTAGCCCTGCCTCTCAAACGAGGACTTTGCCCAACCCTGATACAGGCATCACACAGCTGGGACCCATCTCATTACTTGGTGCAGTGCGCCTCTGGTCTGTTCTAAAATAATACATACTTGGAACTACACCCACAGGCAGCTTAGAGACAATGTGGAACACAACTGCAAAAGGACTGGTACAAGCTGACAAGTGTATAAAACCTGGGCTCTGAACAAGGCTCCTGTGCAATTTAAGTTGCTATCTATTAATTCTCAATGGAAAACATGACAATCTTAGGAAACCTTTTCACCTTCCTACTCTGTGCCCTATTCCTAGTAATTATTAGTTCCTCAATGGGTTGCAGAACTTTCCTGGGAGAGGCTGGGGTGCAAAACATCCATATCTAACCTGTTGCCTTAGCTATCCATAACTGGAAGGTAGTGGGCTGTGAAACTCTCCTTATGACCACGTGGATTTGAATATTTCATTTTAAATTTGGTATATTTTAGGTTAAATGAATAATTTTGGGACAGATTTTCTGATGTGCTGTGAAATAGCTGCTCTCATGCATCGCCAGGGAAGGCTGAGAGAGCAGGTGGTTCTGAAAGTAGATGACGTGAGCACAACAAACACCATGATTAAAAAAAAAAAAAAAGTAAACCCCATATTTCTGCAAGGGGCAGCCTCTTTTACAGGAGTCGCACAGTATTTCTACAGATTTTTGTCAGTATTTTGGAAAACTGGGTACCCCATTCTTCAGGTAAAGTGTTTAATCAATCAAGGTCCCACTTGTGGTCTGTGAGGCATGTGTGAAAAAATGAAAGGCTCTGTAATATTTTAAAAACAAAGGGAGAAGATCAAACACTGTGCTACTGAGTGAACTTTGATGATGAACCCTCCACTGGAACAAACAGCCTAGACGGAAAGCCTCCAAGCAATGATCCTAAGAAATAGCAGTCAAACATAGGACTAAAGCTACAGGGGAACAGGAAAGGAAAGGGAGATGGAGGAGTTTATTCTAATAGAAATAATCAGTGGTTCAACTCACCTGATGTCCCACAGTTTTCTTATGTTCCTTGCTTGCTTGGCCTGGCCTAGTCTTGGCTGGTTTTACAACAGTTCGGGACAGTGGTGTGCGACCTGATGTGGTTGCTGAGGTGGGACTAAGGACCTTCCCCTCATCACGAAATAACTCTGGCAGCAGCTTAAACTAGTGAAGCAGTAGGAATAATGTAACATGTCAGAATGAGAGAGAGGGTGAATATTCAAGAAAGGAAGAAATGCTGTTTAACAGGCAATACACGGATATGAAAGAGAGGACACTTAAGTACTTCTCTTAGCTTTGCTAGCAGGTGTCTGTGGGACCTTGACAAAGTGAACGAATCTTCTGATCAAGAAAAGGGGTATAACTACTTATTTAAAGAGGTATTAGACAAAAGTGATTGTTTAAAATGCCTTTAAGTTCCTTTTATGGAAACATCTGATGGGTACTGAAGTACAAAGTAGTAGTATAATCTTTCCTAAGGATCCAGAATGGTTGGAATCCATACTCGCTTTCTGTAAAGATTGTTTATCTCAAAGGGGAAGAGGAGATGATAAGAGAGAGCACATTTGCGATGTGGTGTGGAGGACAGTAATTTAAAGCTGAAGTTATTTATATTTGTGATCAACACTTCTCTTTCTGAATCCAATTCCAACTTCACTGAATCTCATACATACGGTAAGCAAGACCTACACAACTAAGGTGGACTGACACAGCATTGTTTCATCAGAACAGACACATGGCTATACAGGACAACTCAAAAGCTAGAACTTATCCTGATGTTCCCATGGTGCATTCACTTAGTCCCTTTGAGAGCTGGCCAATAGGGCTGTGCAAAGCTTCTGTCCCTGACTCGATTCAGTGGAGATTTGGCCCGATTCAGTGGCTGAATCTCCAATCTGAATTACCTCAGAGGACCCTTTAATCTCTCCGAATTGAATCAGAAACCTCCAAATCGATTCAGAGAGATTCGGAAAGATTCGGCGACTCGGACATAAATACAGCTTTAAATGTTTTTTCTACATACCTCTAGGTACCAGGTGGCTCACGAAGGCTGCGATGCTGGGATATATGGAGTGTCCCACAGAAGCATGGGGGGCCCAGCGCGCTCAGCAGCAGACCTGGAAGTGGGCCAGAAGCACTTCCAGGGAGTGCGCTGGGGCCTGCCCCTGCTCCGCAACTGGTGCCTCCTGGGGGGGGGGGGGGGCCCCCGGGGTCACCCCATGGCTGATCACTGAGCCGGGGGGCACCGAGGGGCCTCCCATGCATTCCCTGGCAGACCCAGAAATGGATGAGCTGTGCCTGGTACCTCGAGGTATGTAGGAAAAACATCTAAAGCTGTGTCTCTGGCCAAATCGACGATTGTCCGAATCAGCATCGAATCCCCAGATTCAGCAAATCAAATTGGGGATAGTGATCTGAATCAACAAATGAAATCACTGTCCCCAATTTGGGCCGAATCTGAATGGAATAGGGCCCACTTCGCACACACCTACCAGCCAGAGGGACTGAATGACCCAACAGACATCACAAAAGAACTCCTGTTCAAAACTCTAAAATAAATTACTAGCTAGAAAGAAGATATATTTACCAAGCTGAAGATCTACTTTATGTAGTAGAGTAGGAGTGGAGAAAAATTTTCCCAAACAATCTCTGGGAACTCTGGTTTCCTTCCTCCCTCAAAATGACTGTTAAAGGCTTAAACCCCCCCCCAAAAAAAACAACAAAAAAACAAACAGGGCTCTAGCAGCTACCTGTAATTGTATCATGACTAGGGATCCAGGTTTTCTTTCTGCCACAGAAAAACACAGATTTTCCCTTTAAAGGAGAAAAACGCAAGAAACTGCAGGATTTCCCTTGCAGGCTGGCAGTTCCAGATTGCAAGGGGATGCCTGGGGCTGAGGGGAACAGGATGTATGGGGTGCCATGTGCATATGACCAGCAATACAACCAGGCAGAGGTGGAGAGCAGCTCCCCCAGCTGCCTGCAGGTAAGTTGGGGGAGGGAAGGGGGTAAACGCGATGTGTGGGGATGGCATAGGTGACATGGGGGGTGCAAATTGAGGCAGCCATGGTGAGGGAGGGAGTGGGGTAGGGTTGGTGGCTGGGCCTGGGAGTGCTGCCCAGTTGGGGTAGGAATGCACAGCTGTGGGGCCTGGCTGGGGGAGCGGAATGGAGTCCACAGGGCTAGCAGGGGGGCTGGCTCCTTGCTGCTGTCTGTGCTCCCGGACAGGGGGGCATGGTGGGGCATGTGCCCCCTCCAGATCTGTACAGGGACAGGGGAGGATGCAGGCTGCCCAATGCAGGGTCAAGGCTCCCTGCCCTACTGCCCTCCCTCCCAGGGTCTCTGCAGCCCAGGGGGCAGGACCACAGAACAGGGTGGAGAGGCTTGGTGTCACTGCCACTACTGCCAGGAACCCCATATCTGCTGCGCCGTGAAGGTGAGATGCCCTTGTCTGCCCAGCAGCAGCGGGGAGGTGCAACACCACACCATCAGCCCTGCTGCTGCCAGACAGGCAAGGGGTGCCTGACCTTGGCAGCGTGACTGGCACAGGGCTCTTGGCAGCAATGGTTGTGGCAGCAGCACCAAGCCTCCACGTCCTGCTCCAGAGAATTTGGGATTTTTTAACAGATAAAACAAGGATTCCTGATCATAACCATAGGGAACATTGCCAAGTCTTTCTGCAGATAGCTACCACCTCAGAAGCATTGTCAGAATGAGGAAACCTGCACCCTTCTATCTAAAAATCAGTAGTCTTTAACTTAGAATCTCTCATCATCCCAAACAGGTAGGAACATTAGGCTTTCATGACTATAAAGCACTTAGCCACAGGCAACTTAAAAAAAATATTTGGCTATCTTATACGGCTTGACAAGCATGCAAACTTTCAATGAAACAGGCTGTGCAACAAGATGATGTTCTTTTGCTGTCACTGTAACTTGAGAAATATGTTCTGCTAGCCCAACATTTGCGACTCTTGTAACTCTCCTGCACAATGGAAAGTTACAATAAAGGTGCTAAAAGTAGTCTGAGATTCATGAACCAAAAGAAAGACAAATATCATCCAACCAGAGCCATACGCTGCATTCGAGACATTTCACAGAAGATATGTTGGCCTCCAACAGTCAAGTAAAGAAACCCATGCGATGTAAATAAAAAAAAAACTCTCTCAGTGAGTCTGCTACTAATGAACCAACATAATAAAGATGCTTCCTAGGCTCTGGATTGTTGATGCACTGAGATTTCTGAGGAATCAAATACACAAGGTTTATTGCCCCCTAAAGGAAAGGGCTTCACATAAAAATAGTTGACTTCTTTTCAAAGATACCTTTTTCTAAGGCATCATCTCAGGGTATATGGAAAGGGAGGTGATACAACATGGCTTTTCTTTACCATTGTTACTGAAGGATAGTGCTAAAGATAATATCGTAGAAATGGGGCACTATAGAGAGAGTCTATACTGTTTTTCCTGTCTCAACACCTCTTCGTTTCCCAGGCCAGTGGCATTGCTCAAATAAAAAAATTTTAAAAAAGGAAAAAAGCATTGATCAAAGGGCAGACAAATCATGTACGGGGAAAGAGGCAAGCATTTTCCATTCCCTGTGATTTCAGATAATTTCACAGACACGCTGCTAACAATCTAATAGAACCATCTCTTTTAACACAAAACCATGACAAGGTGAATTTTAATAACATGCCAGAATAAAGCATGAAAACTGAGAACAATTGTATTACTTGAATAACGCATGCACTAGGATAAAACAAGCTTAAACAAGTGCTGTGGACAGATTTTTAGAGCAGCCAATATTTAAGCGTTTGCATTACATAACCCTCCTGTATAAACATATTTGCTTTGAGAGGAGAGCAATTTTGTTGCTAAACATGTAAATCTCTGGATGTGATAGTGATGCAGAAGGAAGCGTGACTGGAATTATAAATGACATATTAGATTTTAGATTACCTTCTGGTGAACATGTACGGTGAACCAAGAAAACAGCAGCAAGAAAAAAAAAGTATATTAATGTTAAAAATTAAATCAGAAAATGTAAAGCTACTGTGAACAGCTGCTAATAATTAGGGCCAAATGAAAAATTTCAAATGAAGTATTTTCCCACTGGAAAATGGGTTTTTATCATAATTGACTTTTTCTCTAGAAAAGCAGGTTTTGGTGGAATTTCCATTGGGAAAAATCAAAACATTTCATTTTGCCAGGTCAGGTTGAGTTGACATTAATCTCTGACTCTTCCTGAACTACTGTCATGCTTTTTGGGAGTTCTCCTCCAGGTTTCTAATGCTATTTTCCCATTATGGATTAGAGTATGCCTCCCATGATGCTCATCGGTCTCTCTCTATGGCTGATGTATTGTAACTTGGCAGCAGTATCCAGCAAGAGAACAGAGACATGAAAGATGGAGAGCTGCAACTCCCAAAAGGCAATGAAGTGGCTCACATGAGCAGAGAGATTGATATCATAGCGAAAGAAAACACCTCTGTTTCAGAACAGAATTTTTTTTAAAGATTTATCATTACACAAAAAAACTTTGGATACTTCAAGTTTATATTCCAATTGAGAACATAAACACATGGAATATGGGGATTTCTGATATGGGTGTGTGAAACGGGCCATAGTTGATTTGGATTTGGCCTGAATCAGGGACAGCGATTAGACTTGTTGATTTGGATCACTGTCCCCGATTTGATTTGGCCGAATCCGAATCTGAAGATTCAATGCCAATTCGAAGAATCAGCTATTTGGCCATAGACAGATTTAAATGTTTTTTCTACATACCTTGAGGTACCAGGCATGGCTTGTGAATGCTGCGATGCTGGGGCGGATGGAGTGTCCAACAGGAGCACAGGGGGGGCCCCCCACATGCTCAGTGATGAACCTGGAAGTGGACCGGAAGTAAAGGCGACCCTCGCCATTCACGGGGGATACATTCTTGTATCCTCCATGAAAGGGGAAATCCGCGAACAAGGCACTGTGTTCATGAACACAGTGTCCCCAGTGGCTGGGGGAGGGCATGGCTCCAGTGGCAATGGCAGGAGCCCGGTGGCAGCACGCACGGAGCTCCCAAGGAGCTCCTGTAAATGCATAAAGTATTTAAAATGCAGGTTCAGCATTCACAAATATTTGAAACTGCTAATAGTGAGGGTTTCCTGTACTTCCAGTCCACTTCCAGGTCCAGTAGGGAGCCCCACCACACCTCTCTGGCTTGGCAATCGGCTGCAGGGGACGCCCAGTGCACCCCCAGACCCAGGAGGCACCAGTTCCTGAGCAAGGGGATGCAGGGGGGCCCCCCCATGCGCTCCCTGGCAGACCCAGAAATGGACTGTAAGTGCCTCTGGTCTGCTGCTGATCATGCTGGGGAGCCCCCTGCACTCCTGTGGAACTCTCCATCTGCCCCACCATGGCAGCATTCACGAGCCACCTGGTACCTAGAGGTATGTAGGAAAAGCACTTAAAACTAACTGCGTCTATGTCCGAATCGCCAAATCTTTCTGAGGGTTCCGATTCGATTCAGAGAGATTAAAGGGTCTCCTGATTTGAGTCAGATTCAGAGATTTGGCCACCGAATCGGGCTGAATTGAATTAGGGACCAAAGCTTCGCACAGCCCTAGTTTCTGACAGGATGGTGATCAGCTATACTAATAATAATAATTTTATGTATATTATGCTAGTTCATGTGGGAATCTATAGTTAGCAAATTCCCAGTCCCTGTAGTAAGAAAATACCATGTTACTTCTATTTACATTTTAGGAAATTAATCACTAGCATCCTCCCCATTAAGAAAGACAACATAATTAACCACTCCACAACACAGAGCAAGTTTTTAAATGGAACAGTTCTATTTTTTTTTTTTTTTTTTATACAAGCTTCAAGGGTAAGTAAAAACTGGTTTATGTTTCCAGCCCAAGCAAGATTTAACACCCTGACTGACTTTCTCTTATTCATTTGGCTTTTAGAGCAAGCAGGTAGGAGGACCTTGCCTGTTTTCACAACATTTAGAAATCTGTGGCTGTGCAGTTTAGAAGGCAACAGTTTGCATGTGTACATGAGATGTTTACTGTGCAGTTGACTAATTAACTGTGCAGTAAGCTTCTCAGCATCTAGTACAGAGGAAATTAATACTAGTTTATTTACAGGTACTACCTTGCTGAGGAGTTCTCGTCCACAGTAGTGCACATGAAGATACCAACCTGGCTGGCTGGGACATGAGGGTGCTTCAGTGCGGGGGCAGCCTGCTGGCTGGCTAGCCCTGCACTGAAGCACCCTTGCGCCCCAGACAGCCCTTACACAGCACACTGAGCCTGGCTGAAGCAGCCCTGGGCTGGCAGGCTGATCTCCTGGACCCCATGCCAGCCTGGTCTGCTCCAACCTGGCTTAATGTGCCGCGGTCCAGATGCACATGTAAATAGTATGCCTAGAAGCAATAAAACTGTGGAGCAATAGGCTCTGCAGTTTATTGCTGCACATTAATGGCATGTGTAGACATGCCCGGTTAAGCCTCTTATACTATGATCCACTGAGATTCCCTGTTGCCCTTTCTAAAAAGCCTGAGCAAAATTACAGTAATATTTACTGAAAATTTATTGTACAGCTGAAAATAAGTAACTAAATTTAAAAAAGGCTCAAACCTATCAATTCATTTTCTTGTCTATAGTTTTCAAAACAAGTTTCCCAATTGTTTCTGACTGAAGAAAATGGCTAAATATGGACTAACGCCAATGGGAAAAATGTCAGGGCACATTTCCTAAATACACACAGATAACTAAATACAGTAAAAGCCATGTTAACTGGCATTTTAGTAACCAGTGCACTCTACTAACTGGAATCCCCAGCCAGCTGGCCAGGAGCAGCGGGCAGTGTGGGGAGGCAGTGGGGAAGAAGTCTGCACGCGGTGGCAACCACTGCTACCCACCAACCTGTGCTGCCACTACTCTGCGTGCGTCCGCCGCCAGCCCCCACATTGTGTGGCTGCTGCCACCTCCCACCCCCCTGCCTCGTGTCCAGCCAGAAACCACTGTGCCTCAGGTAACCAGCATTTTTAGATTACTGGCATCTCCCCATTCCCCACTCATGCCAGTTAACATGGCTTTTACTGTAAATACACACTATAACCAGCTTCAGGGGTCATATATTCTAGAACAAAATTCTAAGGTTTTTAGAAGACCTTCATATTATATCAACCTTCAACTCATATCTTGTATTAATACAAAAAAATCCTTGATACTAACCTTACTTGATTTTAGGACCTTGATTTGTTCTTCATAGACAGTGTCTTTGTTCTTTTCCAGAAAACCTTCACATTGATATTCTACCTGAAAATATGAACAAATCAACAATTCTATAAAAACCTCTTTAATTAGAAGCACATTTGTACAGGACTCATCAGCTGTAACCTGTAACTTAAAAAAAATTACATTCTAATAAAAACTTTCAAATTTTAAACTACACATAGGCATAACTAGAGAAAATGTATTGGTACAAAAACACCAATGGTAACCCAGCATGACTGAGTGGTTATTAGAAATATTAAGAACCAGAATATGGGCTGAGCCACTTCAATTCTCTGTTTCATTTAACATAGCTGAAAAATAGATCCAAGCCAGAGCCAATAAAGTAATAGATACCCCATCTCATTAGATGAGATGCTGTAGGCTGCAGACAGTGCTCCTCAGCCAGTGAGCCAAAGCCTTCCTCTACGTTCAAACAGGCAACTTTCTTCAGTGCTAATAAAAATTCTATGTGCTCTAACTATCCCCACCTGAAACCTCTTAATTCATTCCTTTATCCTGAAAGGGACAGGGATTCTCATGGACCAAAAGTAGCCACAGCCTAACAAACTCAACAGATGATCCAAGGACTGGTCAAAAGAAAAAAATGACAACAATCCATGGACTAATATTGTAAAATACATAGATATAAATATGCTGCTTCATGCTATGGGTCTCAAACTAACCACAGAAGGGGGAAGTGGTATCAAAACTGATCTATACTTTAATTGAACAACAATGACCTCTTTAGCAGTTTGACTATCACAGTTGGTGAGGTAGATGGAACATCCATCAGGGATCATACATGCCCAGCAATGCTCTCATGTTGGGACTATTCTAAGGACTGTGGCAAAAATAAATTCACCTCCTATACAAGGCCTATTCACCATATAATCCCTATTTTGAATTTTACCTTGAAAATGCATCTTAGGCCCCTGGCAGATGTCACATGTTCAGATGCAATTAACCAGGTAATCACATTTTAAGAAAGGGGTGGGCAAAATACGGCCCACAGGCTGGATCCAGCCCGCCAGCCCATTCTATCTGGCCCGCAGGGCCTCTAAAAAATTTAGAAAATTAATATTTATCTGCTCCTGGCTGCCTGTCGAAGATGACAGGGGTCAGGAGCAGTAGGACCTGAGGGAAGCCAGCAGGACTAAGCAGCCCAGAAGCAAGGCCCACCTGGCCTGGCCTTGCCCCCCACCCCCTCTCACCCCTGCACTTCCCACCGGAGGCCCCATGCTTAGCAGAGCCTTCTTGCCTGTGCCCCTGGGGATGTTCCTGCCTGCCTGCAATTGAGAGGGAAATTCAGAAAAGAACATGGGGGGTGGGGGTGGGGGGGAGTAGAAGTTCCATCTCTAAACACTTTATCTATGCCTGCTTCCAATGGTAAGTCTCTATGCCAGTCCTACTAGGACTGAAAAATTCTACTAGTACTGATACAAGATGTTTTCTATATAATTTGATATTTTTCCAGTTCCAAGATGACAAAATCCCTTGCTGAAAGGAGTACTTGCAGGGGGCAAAGGGAGGGACTTCTGGTGGCAAAGGTCAGGGGCAGGACTTCTGGTCACAAGATGGTGACTAGGGGGCGGGGCTACCCATGCAGCATTCGACAGCTTGCCAGAACTTGGTAAGCAGCCCTCCTCCCAAAATAATTACCCACCTCCTGTTTTAAGTGGTAATCCCAGCCACATGTTCGTGGCATTAATAGTGTGATAACACAGGGAATAACCCACAAAATTAACACAAAAAAAAAAACGTATAACAACTTTGTGGCTGGTTCCCATCTCACCTTAAATTGACCAGGTGGCCAGCCTGGAAGCATACTAGAGCCCTTGGCTCCCATGCAGTCCCAAGGCTGTGAGCCCCAATCAGCTGACTGGATTCCTCTCCCTGCACCAGCCACATGGTGCGATTTGGATCCGATTCCCAATCACACAATCGCACCTCCTGCCATGCACAGGTCAGATCCCATTACATCTTTAACTGAATGCCTGCTACTGATCACATCTGAAACACTACCACTAGAGGGAAGCAAAGAGCTCTGTTTATTTCTTCAGGAAATATAAGCAGTAAAACTGGATATATAGTTTAGAAAACTTGCTATCAATTTTACTATTTTTCCTTCAAGATCTCTCCATGGGATCATGAGTGCATATGTGAAAGATGATATAATTTAACACTGGCAATGCCTCAGTCCTACATAGGCTTAGAGATAGCCACAGTCTGGATTTCCCCAAAATAAATTGAACAATCTAGTCAGTGTGGAGTTCAGAGAAAAAGTGTTTTTCCCGACAAGTCAGGTTCAACTTATTTTACAGTCTATGCAGGTTTTAATTAATTGTTTTTTTGCTTTTCCATCTTTCCAGTTCATGAATCAAGCATGTTAACTATATAGTTTCATTGAGACTAGCACACAGAAAAGAGTAGCAAAATAGGGTTTCACATCTTTTACATACCGATTCAAATACTAAAGAGAAAACAAACTGGAGTGAAGTAAAGATCACAAGTTCTGTGGAATCAGATACACTTCTTCTTTAGTGTATGCAAACTAAGAACTTTTACAAGTATTTTAAATGAAATTTCTTTGGGACTTCTAGCATGCATTCAGAGATTACTAGATTGCATTTACATTCTTGGTTCACACATGCTCTCACATGCTCTATGATTTTATACAATTAATTTCACCTTTCTTAGTTTCAGATCTATAAAACCAGTATGGACCTGACAAAATAAGATTACTAGCCAGTAACTTTACTAGCCTGTAAAGTTTTCTGACAGTCTTTGAATATATTTGTACCAAGCAGTTTTCAGCTACCTGCTGCACTCTAAGCCAGTTAAGATGAAACCTCACTATTATGAGCAATTGCAGGTTATTCTGAACCCCCTAAATCAGTGGTCACCAACCACTGGATCTCTATCCACCGGTAGATCTTGGAGTCAATCTGAGCCTGAGGTGGGGGGCTGAGTGCTTGCATGCATGCACACCCCAGCCCAGCAGGTCACTCTGTGGGGGAGAGAAGGGTTGAGGGCTAGTTTGAGGCCCTTGCGGTGAGGGACAGTGCCGCAGAGGAAGGAGTAACTTGAGTGGGGCCCCGGCCAGGTGGGACTTAACTGCAGGGAAAGCGCACCCCCAAATAATTTTTTCTCCCTCTGCCTCGATGTGCACCCCACACCTTCCCTTCTCACAGACTTATGTGCTGGGGGGGGAGGAGATCTTGGGTTGCTTTTAAATGCCAAAGGTGATCTTTTACTTAAAAAGGTTGGAGACCACTGGCCTAAATTATATTACTTTTTGGCAAATATAGCTTTAACTCAAGCACAGAGCTTTTTGTGCAACTACTGAAAAAGGAATAAAACCCTTACCTTGTCAGCAAAGTGTTGGATGATAAAAGCTTTGTTTGACATCCGTGGCTTTTCAAAGAGTGCACATTTATTCAAATGGGTATTGTACAATTTCTGGGCCCAACTGTCATCTGAGCCTTTGGGCATCTATGTAAGAGAATTATAAAACACAGTTTACACCATGCTGAGCACCTATTAGAATTAAATGAACCAAAAAAGGTGGCACCATGATAGTGGGGACAACTACTGAATTCTATTTAAATTTGTTTGGATTCTTTCTTCTACACTAATGATGGAAACATAGTAACTAATTTTAGATGTAACCCATCAATCACAGGTACTACTTACCAGAACAGTTAGCCCCATTGACTTCACTGAGGATACTTATAGTAAGGACAACACTTGTGAACTAGTGTCTTCTTGAATTACAAGGGGAAACAGTAACAGGAAGACAGAGGTAAATAGATCATACATTTTGCCAACAATGCACTCAGTGTAGTAAACATGAAAACAAAACTACTGTATGCAAACTACCTTATCAAAGAATAGGTTGGAAAGCCTCCATTATTAGCTGTTCATATTGCTGTAGCAGAAAGAACCCCCAAGTCACGTTTCTACTAAGCTGGACACTGAACAACCATGTGCTATAAAAGAAGTTCCTGCTCCAAAGATTTTATAATCTTAATTTATGAGAAAAGACAACAGGTACAACATATACAAACATTTGGAAGGAGGTGGGAAAGAATATGACAAAGATCACAACGAAACCATTAGTCTCAGTAAAAACAGCAGCATCCTTAGGATGTCAACTTTGTGACTAGTATCCAGTATTTTGTAGTGCTCCGGAGTAAGACTCTTTGGGTGGGGTTTGAAGAAAGGCAGCATAGTGGCTTTGCAAATATTTATAAGGATCCCCTGCCAAATATAATGCAGGCAATGGGGAAGGTATAGGGGTGCTTCAGGATTAATAACTGATAAGGACCTGCACCATTGCTCAGCTGCATAAGTTTGATGAGAAGTGTCTGTATGCACACATGCATGTGATTGTTTGCCTGGAGGTTGATCATGCAAGGCCTTAAAGCTCAAAATATTTTGCATCTCTTGGGGGAACCAGAGTAGATAACTGCACCAGCAAGGATCTAAAAGTATTCCAGGGTGGCAAAGCAGCACTTGCCAAGCCCAGATAGGTGGCAGTGACAAACCACAGGGTGGTTGGAGCTCCAACAAGAGTTCTAGGTATGTGGATTGAGATAAAAGGAGTAAATATGCCTGACTTCTATTCTCCTGCAATTCTCCCCCTCCAAAAAAGTTAATACCAGCATGAAAACAACAGTTAACTACAGATGACCTTTCCCTATAAGAACTACATAAAGTTCATAGAAACAGGAGATGCATGCAGCTTCCAGTGTAACAGTAAAGTTATTGAAAACCTACCTTACATTCCTCATCTAGCAGATCTAGAATGCCCATTTTGGCCTCTATGAGGTTTATACAAGGCTGATTATCATAAAAATCAATCAAGGTCCATGGAATTTGTTCCTTCATATACTCCTCCTGTTCCAGCTTAAACACATGCTACAAGAAAAAAACCCCACAAAATATCTGTGTATAAAAATTCATATCAAATACAATGGCCTCTAACTTGATTGCTTCTTGGCATTTTAGACCTGGCCACTGAGTAATAAGCAAGTTAAAACTGAACTAATACTGTAATGAACAAGTGGAAGAAGGGCAAATTAATCTTTTCCTTCTGGCACTTTTTTGGGCCTGCGTTTTTCTTCCTATCTCAACATATCAAAGGGAAATGCACATTGTGAACAAAGGCATGTGAAATATCTATAATACACACACACACACACACACACACACTTAAAAACTTGTTTATTTTTCCCCATTATACTGTGCCAAAATTATTATAGATTTTTTTTCTTAAAAAAACCAACAAGATATATAATAAATGCTTTCCCTGCATTTGTATATGAATTAGGGCTATGCTGACATTCAGGATCTTAGTAGAAAGCAGGGTAAATTTATACCTTACAGACGGATTAAAGTAGATATATAGTCTATATGAAATCTACCCTGTCTTCTACCTGACTAACACAACTATGTTTATCAATCAAGATCTTGCCATATTTCACAAAGACCCTAATAACTTGCATGTTTTCCATTGAGAGAGACTATTTGAGACCCATTTGTTCTCAAATAGCCCCTATACTAAAATGTACGTTTGATTTAGATCAAATTTGTGTGTCAAAACCTTGCCAAAAGAATGTAAGCGTTTCAGTGTAAGAAGTCTATCTGGATTCACTACATCACTAAAAATGAAGCTGTGAAAGGTGTCACAAAGAATATTTAAAAAAATGCATACCCTTAATAAGATATGTACACTGAAAGTGAAAGCGGCCGGGGGGGGGGAGGGGAGGGGAAGGATCATGATAATAAAATATTCAACCAGCATCTTAAACACACCAATGATGTCTTTTTTTTAATGGATTAAAAATTTTTTTTTTTTTTTTTTTTTTTTAGCTTTTCTCTAGTTTATACTATGTTTTGTATTTAACCTAAAGCATAATGTATGCAGTACAACTGTTATGACTTCCAAAAAAAATATAGAATATAACGCAACACACACAAACATTTATGATAACATTTAGAGGCACCTGGATAACAAAGATGCAAAACTCAACAAACTCTGACTTGCCCTTGCCTGCCCTCCTAATTCAATGTTGAAGTCTATCCATACACTGCAGATCTCCTGCATATGTCACTAGGATAGCAGAGAACTATACTGAGACAGCAGTCTATCCTTTTTTATTACATTAGCTTGCACAGTATCTTCAAAAATAGACACTCTTCAGAAGCAGCTCCTGGGAGCCACTCTACATTTAAATCACTTCGCATCTGCATTACATGGTAAGTTAATTCCTTATAGGAAACTGAATAATATAATTTGACTAAAGAATCGTACATTAGTTATCCAAATGCAAAAAGAAAATGTGAAAGCAGTCACTCTACTTAAAAAGAATTAGCAAGCATGTAGTACATATATAGCTCAATTTATCACTGGAGTATCAAGTTCAAGTAATACTGGAGACTGATTCTGGTAGCGTGATGTTTTTCAACTTGATTTTTCCCCCACCTATTTGGGTACAATTTTGCCCTTAGATACACTGAACCATTTCTCACTCACCAAAGGCAAGCACATGTGAACAGCTGATGGCAGAACTGAATCATGTATAGTTATATAGAGTGCATTTTTTAATCATGAGGTATAAGAAGGTGAAGCCTGAAGATAGTTATAGAAAACCCAGTCAATACAAAATATGAAACTATTTTAGTGGCTTAGCTCAACAGTATTATGAAATGGTGTCACCCTGCAGCACAAAATTCCAGCTCCCCAGAACAATCTGCTGTACCAAAATGTTTAACTATATGTATTTTAAAGCTAGTCAAACATTCCAGTGGAACTTTAGCAGTCTTCCTCATGTAAATAATTTGGTTATTCATGACTCAAGTAAGGTACAGAATCATAAACTGTCATAGAGGATGAGGTCAGGAGGGATGTTACCTGTTAGAATTGTGCTCCCTTCAGAACAGAGAAAAGGCTCCTCTCACACCTCAGTTACTCTATGTTAGGAAGTGGCTGTACCCTTAAAAACACTGCCAGCATGCACCAAACCACAGGAAAATGTAGGTGGCAGATTTCTAGCAGTGAATGTCTGCAGCCACAGAAGAGGTTCTCAGTGGAGCTTACGTAAGTCTGACTGACTCCAAACTCACTTATGTAGTAGTATTAACAAGCCAGCTCAGGATCTTAGCTGTAAAGCACTGCTTTTGTCTGATAATTATTACTGTGATCAGAATTTTAAAATCTTACTTCTAGATGTGTTTGACCTCCCCAGCTCCCCTCAAGTTTGTGTCTAAAGCAGTGAATTAATATACTGAAGGAATTTATCTGTGACACTGGGAACCCAATTAAGAGGATGGACTTTCGTGATGGCAAGTGGAGGGAACAGGTACCAATAACTTTCTACTTACCATATTGAACTGTTGCTGTAGTTTTTCATTGGCATAGTTTATACAAAACTGTTCAAAGCTGTTTATTTCAAATGTCTCAAACCTACAAAACAAAATCATTCAACATTCCTAATATAATGTAGAGGAATAATAAATGACCCTGTAATTTTAAACTTGCTCTGATCAAATTTACAAAGAACAATCAGTGGCATCTAGTAGGTCATACCACAATCAAGTGGTAGAGCACCTGACTCCTCCTCTCCTAACTACAGAACATGCCTGAAGATGAAAAAGGACATATCATCAACTTTTCCAAGAAGAAAGTGTGACAGCAGCTACTATTAAAAGCAAGGGCCAACCCATATGACAGTAAGGAGCTAACAAAGGCAAATTTGCTAAAATCTAATATCCACTTATGAAAGCCAGAACATATTATGTTGGGGAACATTTTTAAAGCAAATACCAAATAACTCACTGGTGTCTTTTTATCACAGTTACCCAGCAATAGCTTTTTTTGGTGGTTTTCTTTATATAGTGATACAAGCTAAATACAATCACAAATTTATACACTAGCTCTCTGTAATGAGATACTTACAAAACCCCACGTATCCCTGACACACAGACTCACCCATAAATGTCCAACACGCCAATGAAAGAATGCTGCTTTACAGCAGAATGCAGAGCTTTGTTCACGTGATTTACAATCCAGTTAAAGAGATTAGCATAGATATGTTTGGCAAGGGCATCTCTGGCATTGATAGCCTGAAGTTTGGAAATTGGCTTGATGTAAGTTTCAGTGGCAGTAGCAAGCTTCCTATGGCAAAGCCAGTGAGACATTTCTTCATACTCCACACCCATCAGGTCACAGAAGATAGTGAGGGGTTCATGTTTGGGCTAAAATAAAAATAATTCACTTAGAATTATTTATCCAAGTATTACACATTGAATCATTCAGTGTTTGAAGGTCTATCCCTGTCCAATGCTTGAACAATGCAAGAGGATTTTTCAGGCATAAAGTTCATAACAACAACAGCACAACTCCGTCTCTCTTGCTCCTTTTGCATCTAATTACCCAACTTTTTGTTTCTCCAATTCAGATACTTCATTAAATTAGTGTGGTCACTGAAGTCACAACAAGAACTCACCTTCAAATGTATTTTACTACTTTTTCTTTGTGTATTGATCTGGGCTAACTTGGAGGACACCCAGACATAGCACTCGCAGACAAAAATGAGCTGTCAAAGACTTATTTTGAGTTATATGCTGACTTAAAACAATTCTTCTAAAAACTCTGATCTGACCTAGTAAAAATCAGAGAATCTATATCAGGTATGTATTCATTTTTATTTGCATTCAGTATTTAAGACTGCCTCTCAATTATACAAGAAACTGGTAGAATTAAAAAGATGCGTTAGTGTGTTTGTTAATACAGCTTCCTGCTGTCTACTGCACAAGTGCTAAGCTAAGTGAGATTCAGACACACCAATAAATCCAGTGCATTAAAACAGAGTGATATGCTACCCAATCCAAAAGTCAACTATGAGTAGAGAGCAAAAAAGGGCCTGAACAATTTAGTCTCAGACATAAATACCACAAAAAGTATTTTCCCACTGAAGTCCAGAGAAAAACTTGAAACGTCAGAGAACCAACCTTAAGAGTTGCTAGTTAGCCTTCAGACTGAATTGTTCAAATGAGAGAGTCAGATTTCTATTTTGGAAACAGAACTGCCTGGGATGACCACACTCTGAAGCAGTTACACACTCACATTGCAACACCTCAGTCAACTGCTGCCCATGGCTTTAGGAGAAGCACACCTAATTGTATGCTTCGCCTAAAGCCTAACCTTCACAATATATCAAACAACAATAGCACAGGTCTTTCCTATTAATGAAGAACTCTTTTAGCCACAATTTTCAGGTTTACTGCCCAAACAAGTGTCCTTGAACAGCTGCCTAACAAGTAACAAGGTTTCTCTTCTCCCACAGACAAGTGGATTTTGAGGACCCAGTAACTTACCCTCATATCTCCAACTCTTT